AAAAACGGTCCCCTGGAAAAATACAGTATTCTCTCCAACTAGTTTTTGGTTGTATATAATTTTGAATTAACGCACATGGCTATATATCAACTGCACTAAATGTCTCATGTTATTTTGTATCCTGAGTTATGAAAAGTGGCTGATGCACAGCATGGCCACTCCAGGTGCTCCATCTCATTGAGCACAGCATAATAGGTTCCTAAATAAAAGAACAGAAAGGAAAGAAGAAAAAGTTCTATTTGCCATTGAAAGAACAATCTGTGCTATAAAGCATACACTTGAGAGAACAGAGCATTGATGGGATTTTGAATAACCCAAGAGAGCGGAGCTTGGCAGGGATAGGACTGTGCTTCAGATCCAGCTAGGTTTCCCTCTATAGTTGTAATTACGGGCAGATCATGATTCTGCTCTTATCCGGACTCTTGAACAAAGCCCTATAGAGCTGCCACTTAAATGTTTCCTGGAGTGACATTATATGTTTGACAGAAGACAAAAAAACACTGCCTCGCAGAGACTAAATGTCGGATTATTTATGCGCTTGTCTTTTGAAATTCTGAGGACTTTTGCAGCAAGAAATGAGTGCTGGACAGGTTGGTGCTCGCCTGCTGTAATGGCCTACATAAAAATAAGTAGAACAGTAAGAAATGTTTTACAGTCAGCTGAAGTGAACAATGTCAGGTACAAATCTCATACACCTGAGGCTATGTAAGGACCCTTAAATTTTACAGCGTATGTAGAGAAGTCTGGCGTGGATGTAGCTCATAATGTGAAGCGAGGTTGAGGTGAAGCCTGTCCAAAATGGATGGCTTCCAGCTCTCTAAAGGAAATTCATCCCCTGCTCCTCTGCAAACGAGCCAGGATGTTAACACTATTGACATTAGAAATGTAGGCGTACTGGGCCGGGGAGGGGACAGCCAAGTGTGTGCTGAAGTCCCTCCGGCAGTATTCAACGTTTGTCTCTGTGACCCAGAACTACCTGCTGACAAGAGTGCTACCTCATTTCAATGCTAATGTGCTGTTATGGGTATTTTCAAAGCGTTGCTGCTATTTATTATGAATCAGCTTACCTGAGAGGCGCCGGTTAATCCTGTAGATCCCTGCACAGCTGCCGTGCACCAAGAGGTCATGGAGATAGTGTTTAAATAGACTCTGCCTCCCTTATTATTCCAAAGGGATGACAACAGGCCTGTACACAACTGACAGATTCACTATTCCCCTCTTTTACCTGCACATCTGGTAAGTGGCAGCAAGGTAAAGATCACAGGATTAACTAAGACGCTGCTTTCACATAACCAGCACCGTCTCTGATTGTTTCTTCGTTTCTTGGAAGCACCAAGTGTCTGTATGAACTCTGCAGCTCGCAGCAGACAGTCGTAACCTGGAGGCTTGCAGCAAGCTATCACCAACAGTGACACTTTCTGAGTGGGTTTTGAACAGAGGACAGCAAAATAAAATGTATTTGGAATGTGGACCCTGTGTAATAAGAGAAAAAACAATCTCAAAGGGCCTCCAGCTGTTCATTTTAATAGACGTTAAGATATTGGAAAATGTACGGAACTGTATACATGCCAGCAACAATCAAAAGAGAGTAGTGAAATATGTTATCTCAGTCATTCTTAAAAATCAGAACAAAGTAAAACAATTTCCGAGCCGCTGTCCTCTTTTACGTCTTCATCCACCAGGAGGAGGTTGGTCTCCACTGGATTAATCCCACTGTGTCGCATCTAAAGCAGCCAGATATACAATTTTATTTCAGTTGTTCTGCATTTCAAAAACCACATTTGCAGCTCATTTATGATCAATATGGTTCATCTTTATTCTGTATATTCTGTGAATAGTGTATAGTTGCAGAGGGAAAACCTTCCTTCTCCAGTTTCACAGACTGGAGCAGAAATTGCATAGCATTGCAAGACAAAGTCAAAAACAAATTTAGAACAATATTAAATGCTAATGTCACATCAATGATGATACATATAGCCTTTTATGTTCATTCACAAGAATTTCATTCTTCAGAGATGCAAGCTGCTCCAGAAATTCCCTGGCACATAAAGAGCTGCGAGTAAAGCTTTAACGAGCGCTCTTAGGTGTACACAAACATCTAAGCGGAGAAGGGTGTTATGGGTAACTGCAGATGCAGACCTGTTTGTCAGACGAGTTGGTCGGGCGGCGTTCAAAGAAGAGAGAGGCTCATTCTAACAAAAACACAACAATTCTCATTTTCAGTAATGAGAACATAGTAATGTTACAGTGGCCGCGTTGTTCAGTTCGAGTTCAGTTTGGTGCTGTTATGTTCACCTCAGTACAAAACTAGGCTCAACCGCTGTTTGCAGATACTCGCTTTACAAAGGCAGATGCTACTCAGTTAGCAACATTGATGAGTGACTGATTGATTTACAGTTAGCTGAGCTTGAGGATTTGGTGTTAAGGATGTTTCTGTCTCTTTCTTTGCTCTGTGCTGTAGTCTTGAGCCGCTGCCTGCCAGTGAGCTTTGACGGGAAGGTTCACTGTCTTGTTAACTGCCATGTCTGAACCTCTTCACAAGTCTTGCTCCATATTTGTTTGTTGCTGTGGTGATTTGCAGCTGGTCTTTATTATAGTTTCACTCTATGCAGATAGGAGCTCTCGGTTTACCTCAACTTGCTTTGCAGTTCGTAATTATTGACACACACCCCACGTTTCAATCCACCCTCATGCCCGCAGTATTCATTATTCATATCTCTTTTCAGAAAGATATTGATTTCTATATTTGTTGACAAGTGTGATGAGTTGAAGTCGAGCCCTGTGATGACTTCATAGTAAGAAAACCCCACTAAGGTGCTTTCAACTCTTCCTCTTCTCCACATCTGCAAATGGCAGGAGGTGATGTTGAGGTGAAAGCTGCCTTTGAGAAACGGAGACAGCCGCTCCGTCTTCTATCTTTCATCCCAGACATTTGAAGACTTTCCCCACCTGCCTCGTCTCTTTGTTGACATGCTTCATATCAGCTGCCGGGTCACGTTCCGAGAGCCCAGTCAGGTTTAATCTCACTCTGCTTGTAGTGCTTCCAGCTGCCGTCGCTGTATGTGGAGAACCAGGAGAGAGCGGAGGTGGGACGAATACCAACCAGGGCTGAAATTCATGATTCCACACACTGACAACTGATCCCGGATCCTGCACTGATAACGTCACAGTGGGAAACATCAACTGGAAGGTGGTCAGGAGCATAAAATTCGACTTCATCGGATCATTTCTTATATTCCCTTTCCCCCACCAGATGGCACTGTACAGTGGCTTGACTAATTTGGCCTCCTTGGGCTTCTCATGTTCTTCCAGGAAGAGCCAATGTTTCCTGTTTGTATAATTTGTGTCAAAAATAATTGGGAGAAAACTGTTCTCCAGTGGGAGTCCTGTTTGGATGATTTGGAGTCTGGTGTGTTTAATTTATGCTCCACTAAATCATACTGACCCAAATGAACATCTATTGAGGTTCTGCAAATATTAATACATAAATATACAAAAATAGCGACAAACTAATACAAGACTACCTGCTCTGAACTTCTGACCTTAAAAATGGAAATAAAGGAAATATCCCCTTAAAACATCTTCGTTTCGCCCTTTCACAAACAGCTTTTATGCCTCAGGAGAACTAAAGAAGTCAGGTTTGCGGCTCTCACGTGACATAAAGGCAGACGTGGGCGACACACTGCTCGCCTCAGGCTGTTGCACCACGCATCGACCAAAGTGTGACGCCACTGATCATCTGTGTTACCACATGTGCTCTGCTCCCTGCTGCAGTCCAGTGCACCAACACTGACATCTCTTGGCCTGCTCGTAAACTGTCAGAGTCTTGATTGTGTCCTGTATTCAGATCCTAAAAGTAAAAGTACTAATACAGTAAAAATACTTCATTACAAAGGGTCACAACGTAAGGCTAAGGGGACGGGTGAAATTTGAATTCATTTTTCTGGGCTTTTCTCAAATGTTTGCAATTTGTTTTATGAAATATTTGATCATTTGTCTTCCTGAAACAAGAGAAAGTATTTCCATTTCCTGCAACTTCATACTTGACAAATTTAGTTACTTTGGAGATTCCTACTTAAGTGCAAGATCTTTTTCCAGCGCTGTCTGAACTAAATGTCAGTAACAGAATCCACAACACATTTTCTTCAACACCAGAAGTGAGAGCAACATGAATAATTGTTTATGGAAAACATAAAACCCTGAGAAATCTGCTCTGTCTTACTTGAATGTATGAAATTGTATGTGCTGAAAGGGCGTAACAGAGACGAATCACATTTACACAGGCGAGGAAATGCTGAGGAAATCTGCAAAATCTTATGAGCAACGGTGATAATTAGGATGAAAAGATATATAATGTTGCTATAAAAACATATTTAAATCATGTCGCTGAGCACAGTCTGTGCATCAACACTTTCTTTGCTGTAAATTAACACCTTGACGTGGCTGGATGAAAACACCATGGTGAATCTTTCATATCTCCACTTAAACAATGATGTTACTTTATCAATCAACCACTTTTTAAGGATGTTAACATAAAGAGATATTTAGTTTCATGTCAAGCCTGGAAGTATTGCTTATGTAGCACCTTTCTAGATCAGAAGTGATTCACGAGGACAAAAACATCAAATACACAAAAACTGCAAAGAATTTTTCCACATTGTGCTTTAAACAATATATAATAAGTTTATGCCAATACGTAAAACAAATCGACCGTGTATACACTGGAGATCAAAAATTGAAGAACAATTTATGAACACTTGATTTTTTTCAGAAATGATGTAATTGCTCAACATTTGAAGGATTTATTGTTGTGGCTGTACCAGCGACTAGAACAGTGTTTTACAAAATAACCAAGACACTTTTAGGAAAACATTTAGGACACTATAGCTTGTTCTCTGATGTTGATCTCCAGTGTAGGTATCTGTATCCTTTGTCAGTGTAGTTTTGGTGGGTTCAATCTGGCCAGTAGGGGCGCTAGTTGTCTCACTTCCTCTGCGTGAGGCTGGTAAACAAAGAACAGAGGGAGAACCTCGCGCATGCGCCCTGCTTGTTTGTTGTTGTCGCTGTCTGTCACTGAGATGGTGAGGAAACAATGTTGTTCTAACTCTATAAAGGCAAATATGAGAGTGAATTAAAGTGTTTGTTCAGTTTACAACAACAGAGAGACTTCAGGTCGCAGCTGAGCACAGTTAATACAGCGCCATTTACAACAGCAGGGCTTTAAAATGCTAGTGGAAAAGAGCTTTATAGTACAACTACTGGTGTGTGTGCGTTGTTTTGAAGCCTTTAAGTGGTTGAATTGACCTCCTATTGAAATGTAATGCTGCACTACACATGCACTGGACATTGATGTTGTGTCTGGGGTTGTTTTGTTCCCCAGCTGAGGCTCTCAGATGGAGGCAGTGTGTAAGCAGCTCCATGGAGGTGATGATGATGATGATGGTGGTGATGATGAGAAGGAGGGGAAGCAGTCAGGAGCAGATGAAGCCATGCTGTGGTCCATCCAGGAGGCTCTGGAGAGGCAGACCCTGCAGATAGGGGCATCAGCATGCGGGGCCACGGCGGTGGTGGATGTGCTGAAGGCCCTCGGCGTGGACGTGGTCCCTGAAGAGGCAGACCGCTGCGTGCAAACACGCCTGAGGAGGAACGAGTCACCGCTGCCGGACTACCTGCTGTCCCGCAGTGAAGCTGGTAAATGTGCTGACATACAAGACCTGGACAGACCACATCACGCCTTTTCATACCCGTCCTGTCCAGTGGCAACCAAGTGAAGTGAAAATGATCCAGTTTCTTAAGATAAATAAACTACTAGGGCTGTTCTTCTAAACTCATGAAAAGTTGAGTTTTTAGAGACGTGTGGTTCTCACAGAACAGCGACCTTCCAAACATATGATGATCTTATAGAATACCATGCATTACTGTAGATTAAACTACACACCAGGATATAAAGTAGTTTAAATAAGCTCAACCTTAAACATCGACAGGATGATTTGATGATTTCTTTTCATATATTTTGGAGACAATAAATGAACATCTTGTTCTGTCCTCCAGGGTAATAAATGAATCACTTAATTTTCATCTCCTATAGTCGAAGAAAATCATGTCAAATGTCTGAAAGTTACAGTAAATTTGGACATAAACATTTGAAAGGATTTATTCCATTGTTTGACTATGAGACTGCTCTGAAAGTACAACGTCAACATGTTTTTAAGGTTAAAATGCTGTGTGTGTACCTGGATTATTTTGACAACAGAGAGAGACAAGAGTCAAATCTATTGATACATATTACACGTTTACATTAATGTAACTTTTAACTGTTTGCTGTACGGCCGTATGCTTTAATTTTCCTTTTTCCTCTAAATTAAGGCATTAAAACAGAACAGAAAGAACGCATAATTAAGATTATGAAGAGTGTACAAGCTGACACAACAGAGATTCAGAAGAAACCCTTTGTGTGTCTATAAACACCTGGTGTGAGCTCAAAGCCAAGCTGCTCTGCATCGTTTCAGGTAATGAAATATGAGAACATAAAGGATGACTTTGAGTGGGTTCATACCTTAGCCTGCCTCCACAGACAGTATTATGTCAGGAGTCACAGATGCTAGCAGGGGCTATAACTTCCCCACTGAATGAGGCTCTCTAACTTCTTGAACCTATGAGCGCAGGTTTCCTGCCGGTGTGACAGCTGGCATTCAGAGGTGCCCTCCTTAATTAGACAAAGAGCTTTACGTCCCTCAGAGCGACTGTAATTGACTTTTTTGGCTGTTGGACAGTTTTTAACTTGCAAGAGATTCTGAGTGGAAAAGAAAACACACCTTTAATCACTGATCTTAGACATTATGGGTCAAATCTGATAAGTATTTGTGTTTCTAGAGTTTAAATAAATCAACTTCTTTTAGGTGCGACTCACGCTCAGCTCATCCAAGGAGCAGAGGAGGCCAGTAAGGGGAAAGTAATGGGTCGCTTCTTCCACTTCCACCCTCGGCGGCTGGTCAGACTGGTCCCCTGGCTCGCACGTTGGATCCAAAGCGGCGCCGTACCCGTGGCAACCATGAACATGCAGCTGGCCGTGCCCGAAGGAGAGGAGGTGCCTGACGCCTGGCACCATCAGCTCATATTCGGCGTTGCACCAAATGCTGTTTTCATGACCAATCCTTTAGATGTAGGTGAGTAAGGGCGGAGACACAACTTCACCTGGAGAGTCTCCTTATACTGATGCATTATGGGTTATTTTTTTGTCTTCCTGTTTTTAGTGAGCGAGGAAGAGTTGCACCAGAGACTCTGCAGCGAATCTGTGCTGCTGATTCGTCGAGAAGACGTCCTGCAGAGACTGGCGCCAGATTGCTGTCTGTCCAGTTTATCCGAGCCGCGCTGGAAGTCCCTGGATGTCGAGGGTGAAGCAGCTAATTATACTTTTATTTATGCAGATTTTTGCACACATGTTCTCAGTGTTTTCCTCCCTACTTGCATCCTGTTAGGTCAAGTGAGGCAGATGCGCCAAGAAGAGGAAGAAGATGGAGCTAAGTTAACACACATCACGATCCCCGCAGCGTACAGTTCAGGCATCACACTCTTCGCCCTACGACAGTCAGAGTTGGGACAAGAGCTCCTCAACGCTCCTGAACTCCCGTTGTTGTGAGCCGACTGACACTCATGGACTTATTTATTGTGATATGAAAAATAAAAAAACAATATTATAACACTTTATTGATCCTGGTTTTTAGGATCTGCTGATATCCCCCCTGCTGGAGTGTCCTGGAAGAGATGTAAACAAAACGGTGATCAACAAAATATCACGTGATAAACTGCAGGTTGAACCGCATAAACATTCACACAGTACAAGAATAAATACTAAGGGAATATAAAATTATGTATTGACAAGAAACAAAACCACAGAAATCATTTTTCAATGAGGCTGCAAAAATAGCTTCAATACCTTCACCAACACTGTCATCCATGTACATTTCTATCACGGTTTCATGTCAGTTAATTACTTAAATAAAGCATTTTCAAACAATGAGAAGATTACTTTTTACTACAGTTATGCCATCATGCATTGATCCCATCAGTCCCCGTTTACACCATCTTCCAGTTAACCTGAGCATCGACTTTCAGACTGTATTGATTTCTTTCTGAGCAGTAAAGTGGCTGAGCTCCAGCTTATATTTCAGAGCTGTTATGTCCTGATGCTCTAAAGCTTATACCAACAGACAGAAGTCCTCTGATTGCTCCACAGGCCACATTAAGCACTAAAGGTGGCGGAGTCATTGCAGCCGGGGTACTTCATCGGTTTGTCCCCCAAGAGCCAGCTCACTTTTCCACACATCAGATCCTCTGTGTAAGTAACAGTAGCAGTGCCAGGCGTGAGTTGGAGCTAATTGAACTACTTTATGCAGCATAGCAATGCATCAGTATTGTATTAGTTCAGGTTTACTATTTAATCTGCAGAGTAATAGCTGTAAATACATGTACTGTAAGTGTTTTCTTCAAGAATAAAGTGGAGCTGAAGTATAAAGTTGCACAAAAATACTCAAGTAAAGTAAATGAACTTAGTAACAAGTTACATTCTTATAGTGGTGCTTCTACCAAAATGACTGTTATTGTCAGTGGTGTAAGCACATTTACTCGAGGGACATATGGTACTGTTTACTTCACTGCATTTACATGACAGCTTAATTTACTGTTAGGTTGATTTCACAAATGAAGATTGTTGCAAACAAAACATGAAAATGTACAAGGAACAATTAGTCGATTAATAGGAAGCTATTTTTCCTTAATATTCAAAATCTAAGTAATTGTTTTACATATATTTCATGGTTCCAGCACTCAGTGTTCAAAGGTTTTTGCTTTAATTATTTTAATAGTTGTATTTGTTTTTAATTGGACTATTGCATTGTGAAGGAGTCACTCTGGGTCATTTCTCACAGTTTAATGAATTCTAACAAACCAAATAATCCCTGATTAAACATTTTCAGTGCAGGACTTTTACTTGTAACATTAGTACTTTTACTAAAGTAAAAAGGATATAAATACTTCCGTCCACCACTGCTTATTGTTTATATTTGTACAAAGACAGCAGTGGTTTCCTGTGAGTTCACTGATGGTCATATCTCGGCTTTTCTTTTTTATTTTGATTACAGTGTTGGATACAACCTGGCGATATTCTATTTGTAGATAAGCCAACGTACTTATCCGTTTTGGGTGTCTATATCTACGGCAGTCATAAACACCCCTGGAAGGAAGTATGTGGGACATACTTCTAGGATAAATATGAATCATACAAGAAGATCTTTTTCTCTCTCGCTAGAATCTCTGGTTGGACAAGACGACTGAATAATTCAAGTTATCAGGTGTAGGAAGTAGGAATACTAGTCGCGTATACATGTCAAGGAGGGAATCTTTAGAATGTGAGATATATCCAATAGTCTTGGTTGTACTGATAGATAGTATGGAGCACTAGCTATCAGTGTTGGTTAACTTGTTAAACGTCGGTTATTTGTGTTAATTTTATGAAATTCTGGTACATCAGCTAGATGAGTTCATAAGGAATGTGGTGTTTTTACTCGTTAATGTATTATGTTGGTTTCTAGCGGTGTGTGTGATAGTTGTGTTGTGTGTGTGTAGTTGTGTTCGTGTTGATGGTGGGTGAATTTGTTTGATGAGGTTTGTGATGTCGTGATAGTGATGTGTGTTGTGTGGAATGAGTTGGTGTAGTTTGATGTGGTGTGTGTGTTGGTTGTGTATGAGGGTGTGTTTGTTGATGTGGCTTTTATGGGTGTGTTGGTTGTATTGAAAGTTGTGTGTGTGTGTGTGTTAACGTAGTTTCCTCCACGCTCAGTCCGCAGGCTGAGAGCAGAGGAGACACTGGTCCTGAACTGGGCTCCGGCTATTTCCTGCGTCCCACAGACACTTAAAACACACACAGGTGAGTGTTTAAAAACAGCATGCTACATGTGTACCTGTGTTTGTGTGCTAATGTTGCTAACTAACTGTTAACCAATGCAAATTACTTGTTTTTGCTTCACTTTACTGTCATGTACAGACAAACTGTTGAGGTTAGCTGGAGTTTGAACTGAGCATTGATCTTTTTGAGATATTGGAATGGCTTCAGGATGTAGACACCATCCATCATAAAGTGCAGAATAAGTGCATGTGCAGTATATTTGTGACACACACTGTGAGTTAAACGCTTATTTGAACTTATTTGACATGTTTTACAGGAGTTCAGTGTGATTTTTCTAGTTAATTGATCCTGTGATGTTAGTTACAGGGTGCACAGCTTCAGTGGAGTACGCAGTAGGATAAGAAAGTGAAGCTTTTTCACCCCATATAGCACATTTGTCTTTGAGGAGCGTTGAAATGAAACCCTGCATTGTTAGACTCATTTGATTTGCTCCCTGACATGCGAGTCACATGAGGAGTGATTCCAATCAAAGGCAGTGATTTGACTAATTGTGGAGCATGTGCACCCACTGTGCCAACCCCCCCCCCCCTCTGTACTGTGTCTGTTCCCAGTCAATGCAGCTTTTAGACAATGTGTGTGTTACTGTAGTAAAACACACCATTGCACAACCCTGAGAGTTGAACTCATCAGGTCGCTGCAGATTGGGGTGCTTTGAACTCTGATCCCGGTTTGTTTGAGTTGATGGCGGTTGTCTTTGTTTCTTTTCGGCTGTTTTTTTTTTAAGTAAAAAATTGTTGAATTTGTACATTTTGGCAAAAAATTGAAAATTGTGAGTCTTTTTTATTTAATTTAGGAAGTTCTGAACAACAAATAAGCCCCAAAACTAGTCAAATCACTCGTTTCTATCGATCTGATGACATTATATTGATCCAAATGTCTGTCATGAGAGATTCTGTTGATTGAATTTAGATTGTGTGAAACTGCATATCATGTTTTACCTTTAGTGTGAAATCCTCTGTTAATTATTAAAAAAAAACAACCTTTTAGATGTTTGCAAACATCAGTAAATAAAAAGGTGTTTACATGCCTCTGTATATCTGCATGTTCTGTCCCTTACATGTGCAAATAATAAAATAAATCCTTCGTTAACAGAACATTGGTTTGCGTTCGGTAGATGAAGCACCCAAAACGAAAGAGAGGCTGCAGAATAAAACAGTCGAAGGCGAGTGGTTCACTGTATCTCAACCTGATAATGGTTTTGTTTTTCCATGCAAATGAGATTCGGCCTCGCCTGGTGACCATGCCATTTAATTGTTGACTTGTGTTTTTGTTCTAGTTGATTGGATCCGTGTTAGTGTGGCATTACAAGATAATATAAGACCCCAGGCCTCAGAAAAGGTCAGCGCTTCCTCACTTTCGTTATAGGTCAGTCTTTGCATGCAATTAAAAGGGTACTTTAGGAACGGTTAAAGAACAGCAAGGCAGCTCCGTCCAATAGCTTTTTTTAAGGTGTGAGCGGTTTTAATACTCTCTTGTTTTCTGGTCGCTCAGGTACGATGGCAGAGAGGGTGCTGGTGGTTGGGAGCGGAGGACGGGAGCACGTGCTGGCCTGGAAGCTGGCCCAGTCGCCGCAGATTCAGCAAGTCCTGGTTGCCCCGGGTAACGCAGGCACGGCCAGCTGTGGGAAGATCAGCAACTCTGGTGAATACGAACCCCAAGACTCTTTAGTTCAGTTTAAGTCTGCTTTTAAAAAAACAGTGAGATTATGTCACACCTTGAGGTTTCAGCACATTCCTGTTTATAAAATACATTATATAGTAGAAGAAAAAGAAATGCAGTATTGAATCATTGATGGCTGCAAATAATTGTTTTCATTAATCAAAATGTATTTTATTGTCCCAATTAATCAACTGGGTTTGTCTGAACAGTATAAAACAAAGAGATATTTAATTTATTGTCGTAGAAGACAAAAACACAGATTATAGATTGTAGCAGCTGGAGCCAGTGAATTTATTGAGCTGTTTCAGGGTTCCCACATTCCTGGAAAACCTAGAAAACCTGAGACTTGTTTTCCAGGCGTGGAAACACCTGGAAATTGATTTAAAATGACCAAATATCCTGGAAATCTTTTATTATTATTTTAGCCTGGGTCCAGCTTTATATTAAACAAAGATACTCTGAGCAAGAAAGCTAATTAGTGTCTTTCTATTCCTTTTTAAATGATTAATCGAGTGGTTCCCAACCTTTGTCCTGAAGGGCCCCCTTTCTGTCACTGATAGACTGATGACCCCTGAATGGATATTTACTTTATTTACTTTATGGATATTTACAGCAGAGAACAGCTGATAAACTGAGCAGATTACTTGCTGTAAATATTACGTCAGAGGGGAGTTTTCTGATGACTTTAGGAACGCTGTATATAATTCTCTGTGTATTGTGTATTTATTAAATCCTCAGATACCGTCCTACAGAGTAGGGGAAGCTTTGCCGACTCCCAAAGATCCACTAGATTAATCGACTATCAAAACAGTTGCTGATAATTTCAATGGGTTGACTGATCAGTACAGCTCCAGAATCCCAGAAGTGAGCCCTGACACTGTATTTAAACAACACTGTATGTGGGACATGTAGTTTTTAATTCTACGTTCTCTTTATTATTTAAAACACAGGTCCCCCCAATAAGTCTAACTTAATATCATCCAGAACTACTCTGACCCCTTGGTGTAGATGGATATAGCACTCAGTGTACGGCACCCATGTGCACGGAGAAGAGCAGTAGGTTCACGTAGAAATATCGGTTCATTATTGTGCTTTATTAGTTTAATAGGTTGTGTTAAATATGCGTCTGAAGAGTCTAAATGAGCCTCTGGTTTCTCTCCGTGCAGAGGTATCGGTGAGTAACCACGCCATCCTGGCTCAGTTCTGTAAGGACCATCATGTGGGGCTGGTTGTGGTGGGTCCCGAGGTGCCACTGGCAGCAGGTAAGCCAGCTCTGTTTCCTCTGTGTGGGTCCTTTTTGTTTCTCTCGAGTCGGTTTCCCTGAACTTCAGCGTCTCTTCCAGGCATTGTAGACGACCTGACGGCTGCCGGAGTGCCCTGCTTCGGTCCGTCTGCCA